TGCCGGATAGCTCCAGCCTACATAGAGTTGTTCTTCCATAAATTACTTTTCCTGTCTTTCTTCTCCTGGGTCTTATAAACACTTCAGGCCCTGGCACAGCGGGCGGTTTGGGGGCTTGGGGAGTCCCGTGTGGTGTGGGAAGAGGGCAGAGCGAGCCTAGAATCCGCAGGGGAAGGCGGCGGGCCGGTTGCTGGACTCCTGGGACTGGAGTCTCGTCCCTGGAGTCGGCTCACGTTTCGGTGTGAGTGTAACATGAGCAAGCCTCCCCTCATCATAACCCCAAGTGCCAGGCCTCCCCGCTCTGCGTCTGCGACTGAAACTCATTCACTCTCGTGGGGGGCGATCTTCTTACCTTCCCTTTGCCGTCGAGGCGGCGGAGGGGGAGAGAGGGGCAGAGACTGGCCCAGGATCAAAAACAGTGAACGGCAGAGCCCGGTGGGAACCAGGAGGACGCAGAGCCCCGTGCTCATCCCTCCGGCTGCTGCACGCCGCAGCTCGGTGCACACGCGTGTGCTTGTGAAGATGCTGTGTGAGGGCGTCGCATTCGGTGTGACCGCGCAGAAGCAGCAGACTTTCTAGACGGCCAGTTGGCCAATGTCCCAGAGAGCGGGCCGAGCCCTCCCCTGCCGTCAGAGTGGCAGCGGAGACAGGCAGCGGGTGAACCGGAGAGTCGGGGGGTGACGGGCCCGCTGCGGGCGGGGGCAGGGGCAGGGCCCTCGGAGCCTTCACTCACCCAGGAAGCCCCGGGCCCCCGTGCGTCCGCCGGTCTGTCCAGGCCCCTGTAACTGGCCCGGCCCTCCCGCCTTCATGCCCACAGTGGTTTCTGGGAAAGTTGCTGTTAAGAAAAATCTCTCTGGAACACCACACTAGACTTCCGTGATTTCCACTGGATTCCATCCACGCTAACGTTTAATAACTCAGGTGCGGGGGCTTGTCCGAGTCTAACCTGGGTTCTGCTGAGACACTGCATTCTCGGCGTCGGGACCAGGTGAGGTAGAGCTGGGGACGGGACCCCAAAGAGCCTCACGTGGCTCTCGAGCTGCAGAATGCCGACCGCTGGTTTACGCGGTTACCTTCCCTGTCAGACGGAGTCCTGTCCTCTCCATCAGCTTCCCAACGCCTAGCGCGCCCACCCGCCCGGGACCACTAGCAGACAGCGGGAGGGAGTGAGAGGAGGCGCTCCCCGGGGACAGGAGAAGGAGGGGGACCCCAGGCGGTGCCTCCGGCTCCTCATTGGTTCTGACATTGGGGGGGCGGCCTGAGCCTGGCGGGAGAGGAGGTGTGGGTGGGCCTGGGAATCTGATCTGGGAAGGTTAAACTAGGGTTCCAGGGGCCGCAGGCTCCAGCACGGCACCCGTGAACCTCCTCCTCCAGGCCGGGGCCACGGAGCGATGGCTCCATGGCAGTGGACTTGTCACTGTTCCTGGCTGGATTAGACTCGGCGTGATTTTTGAAAATATATATTTTATTGATTTTTTTACAGAGAAAAAGATCAGGGATAGAGAGTCAGAAACGTCGATGAGAGAGAAACGTCGACCAGCTGCCTCCTGCACACCCCCCACCAGGGATGTGCCCGCAACCAAGGCACACGCCCTTGACCGGAATCGAACCCGGGACCCTTCAGTCCGCAGGCCGACGCTCTACCCACTGAGCCACACCGGTTTCGGCGATTTTTTTCCAGGCAGTTTCTATTGATAGTAGAGCTGCCCCAGCCCAGCGAGCACGGTCACTCCAGACCTGCCAGGAGCGGGTCTGAGAGGCCCTTTGGGCCACACGGCCTGGCGGGCCTCCCGTGTCCCCGCGGGCGGGGTTCCCTCCACGGTGACGACATTGGCGAAGCCGCAGTTTCCGTGACTCAGGAGGAAACCCGTGTGGTTTGGGCCTGGGGGCGTGGATGGGCAGAGAGCAGATATTTTCTCCTTGTCCCGCGGCTTTAAATTGCAACCTCTCTTCTCGTTTTCCATTCTGCACCCAGCACAGCCGCCCGCGCGGACCAACGCCTTCCAGCCGGGCCGTCCAGACCGTAACCTAGAGCCGCGGAGAGGCTGCGCTGTGGCCGCGGGGGGGCCCCGGCCGGCCTCCCCCGCCGCGTCTGCCGGTGGCTGCGGCCTGGCCGGCGCCTCTGTCAACAGCTCTCACCGGCCTTTGGAGACTCCCCACCCGGTGGCCAGGGGGGCGGGGCCGGGCCTCGGGGCTCTGCTGGCACATCCGCCCGCGGCCTGGGTGCTCCCAGGCGAGGCTTCCCAAGGGCCCCTCTCTCCCTCCCTCTCTCTCTCTCCCTCCCCCTCCCTCTCTCCCTCCCTCTCCCTCCCTCTCCCCCCCTCTCCCTCCCTCTGCCCCCCTCTCTCTCTCTCTCTCTTTCTCTCTCTCCTCTCTCTCTCTCTCCCTCTCTCTCTCTCCTCCTCTCTCTCTCCCCCCCTCTCTCTCCCCCTCTCTCCCTCTCTCTGTCCTCTCTCCCTCTCTCTCCCTCTCTCTCCCCCCTGAAACAGCAATGACCTGGAAGCTAGTTTTCTAAAACTGAAGCACGGCCTAGGGAAGCCCTCCCCGCTCCGTCCTGATGGAACAAGCTACCACATTACACTTCTAAAAGCCACAGCTTTTGGACGCTTGGGAGCGTTCTAGGTGCTTAGGGCAGAAGACTTGGGAAAGACAGCGAAAGGTCCCACCCTTCAAAGATAAACGTTGTTCATGTTTTAGCGTGATTTCTTTCCATATTCTCCCATGCGGTGTCACCCTTTTGACAAATAAAAATAAAGTCCCCCCAAGCTGGTGGAGCCCAGCGCCTGGGCCGACCCTCCCACCCTCCAGTTAGCGCCCCTGCAGCCTGGAAACTCTGACTCCAGCTGGTCCGGCCGCGGGCTCCTCCTCGCTGAGGTCAGCCACTAGGAGGACCGGCCACGGGGAGCGGGCCAGGAGGGACAGGGCGGGCCTGGAGGGACAGGGCGGGCCTGGAGGGACAGGGCGGGCCGGGAGGGACAGGGCGGGCCGGGAGGGACAGGGCGGGAAGGGAGGGACAGGGAGGGACAGGGCGGGAAGGGAGGGACAGGGCGGGCCGGGAGGGACAGGGGGAGCCAGGTGGGACAGAGCGGGCCTGGAGGGACAGGGCGGGCCGGGAGGGACAGGGCGGGAAGGGAGGATCCTCAGATGACACCCAGCAGCTGGCCCCAAGTGGTGGTGCCAGGCTTACACACAGCCCCAGATGGAAGGGCCCCGCGGACAAAGGGCCTGCCGGCCCCTGACTTGGATATTACTTTTCCTTGTTAAACCTCGGCCTCGCCGAAACTGGTGTGGCTCAGTGGATAGAGCGTCGGCCTGCGGACTGAAAGGTCCCAGGTTCGATTCCGGTCAGGGGCATGTACCTTGGTTGCGGGCACATCCCCAGTAGGGGGTGTGCAGGACGCAGCTGATCGATGACTCTCTCTCATCGATGTTTCTAACTCTCTATCCCTCTCCCTTATCCCTCTCTGTAAAAAAATCAATAAAATATTAAAAAAAAAAAAAAAAAAAACCCTCAGCCTCGCTGACCACGTCCTCCTGCTTCCCCGGGGGGTGGGGGGCAGCCTCTCCCCTCTCCTGGGTGAGAGGCCGGGGCAGCCCAACGCCAACGGGCAGGGCTGGCAGGATGAGGGGCCGCTTTCACACCTCGGCCCCCTTGCCCCTCACCCCTGCCTCCTGGGGCCTGGAGTCCCGAAGGTGCCAGGAACGGCTGTGGAGGGACCGGTCCGATGGGATTGCGGACGGTGTGCTGGGCAGAGGGGTGCATTGGGGCGGGCATTGGGGGCTGAAAGGACCCCAGCTCCGGGGGGGCCTCAGGAGGCCCTGCCAGCCGCCAGCGGCCGCTCAGCCTCTCCATGAGCCGCCCGGCGCACAGACCCTGCTTTTTCAGAAGATTATGTTTTCCTTCCTCACTTTCCATGGAAACTCAAAATAGCAACCAAAAAAAAAAGTGACCGGAGGCCCCAGGGGAGGGGTCCGGGGCCTCTGAGTCAGCCCTGTCCCCGGGCACCGGGCACTGGGCACCGCGGGGAGGGGCAGGTGTGGCGGTGTGTGTGCTTCCAGACGAGAGAACGGCTTCCCCGGGTCCGAGTCCATCCTGCCCTCGGTGACTGGCATCTGTGTCTGGGGTTGGTCAGGAGGGGCCGAGTGCCCTAAGGGACGGGGGGCGAGGGGCAGGGCTCCAGGGCCTTCAGGGGCCCGGACTGGAAAGTTCCCGCTGAGCTGCTCCGGGCTGCCCGGGCGGGGTGTGCCCATGGCCCAGGGCGGCCTGCAGAATGGGGGCAAGTCCAGCCCCAGCGCCACCTCAGGGCCCCGGCTCTGAGCGCCTCATGGCACCTCCTGTGGGAGACGGGAAGGACGAGGCCCCCGGCCCCCAACCCCTGGGCTGCTGCTGCTCCTGTGCGCGCCCTTCCCTCACCTTATTTTTAAAATATTTTATTGATTTTTTTACAGAGAGGAAGGGAGGAGAGAAAATTAGAAACATCGATGAGAGAGAAACATCGATCAGCTGCCTCCTGCACACCCCCCACTGGGGATGTGCCTGCAACCAAGGTACATGCCCTTGACTGGAATCGAACCCGGGACCCTTCAGTCTGCAGGCCGACGCTCTATCCACTGAGCCACACCGGTCAGGGCTCCTTCACTTTATTTATAAAGCCGGGGCTTGCCCGGGGTGGGAGTGGTTTGGGGTGGGGAGTCAATTGGGGGAAAAGGAGACTTAAGTAAAACTTTATACTATTAAAAATAAAAATAAAACAATATGGCAAAACCGGTTTGGCTCAGTGGATAGAGTGTCCGCAGTCTCAGATTCGATTCCGGTCAAGGGCATGTACATTGGTTGCGGGCACATTCCCCAGTAGGGGGTGTGCAGGAGGCAGCTGGTCAATGTTTCTCTCTCATCGATGTTTCTAACTCTCTGTCCCTCTCCCTTTCTGTAAAAAATCAATAAAATATGTTTAAAAAAAATAAAATTAAAAAATTAAAGCTCCCTGCTTGCCTTCCAGCTGGCGGGGTCGGCCGTCATCGCCTTCGGACTGTGGTTTCGGTTCGGGGGCTCCATGAAGGACCTGCCGTCGGGGGACAAGTCCCCGGAGCACTTGTACGTGGGTGAGTGACTGTCCCCCCTGAGCGGTGGCCGGGGCAGCCCCCGGGCCCAGGCAGCCGCCCGCCTCCGGGAGGGGGAGGGACGGGGCAGAGGAGGGGGAGGCCCTGCCCTGAGGCCGGGCCTGCGGGGGCAGCAGGGCCAGGAGGGGCCCTCCTCGCAGGGTTCGCCCGCTGCTTCCCAACACCCAGGGGGACCTGGGGGTCCGGCCCAGGATGTAACTGCAGTTCATTCCCAGAGATTCCAAACGCCCCGCAGCCCCAGGGGGCGTGGGCGCCCACCGTCCCTCCCTCCTTGGCCGTCTGCGAGGTCAGAGCTCTGCTCTGTGGGCTTATGTTCGAAACGGCCCACGAGGAAAACAATTCAAAACGAAGAGGCAGCTGTGGACAGGGTTTGGGGTGCTGTGTCGGTCCCTCTGTGTCTGGGGATGCAGAATGGGGGGGGGGGAGGCGGGGGGAGGAAAGAGGAGGGGAGGGGAGAGAGGGAGGCTCAGTGGGGTGTGGAGGGCCGGGGCGTGGCGGGAGGGGAGATTGCAGATGTGGGGGACGGACGGAGGAAGGACAGAGGGCTGAGTGTCCGGTCAGTGAATCTGGTGGGGAGGAGAAGACTAATCGGGGGAGGTCTGACCTCACTGCCATGTTCGAGATTCTTCGGGCAGCAATGGAATGAGAGTCACATGACAGAAAAGAACGAGCTGGATTGAGTAGAGAGAGAGGAGGAGGTAGAAAGTGATGGAAGGAGGCTTGAGGTGGTGAGCACACAACACAATATACAGGTGACGTGTTACAGGATTGTATACTTGAAACCTATGACGTTTATTAACCAGTGCCACCCCAATAAATTCAATAAGAGGAAAGAAAAAGATTGTTGATACAGTCAGACATAGGGCATAACCCATGATGGTTGCAGTAGGAATTGTGAAGAAAGAAACAGAAAACAATAAACAATATCAAACATGACTAAGCACTATTGAACAACTGGAGGCCCGGTGCAGCCATTCATGCCCTGGGTCTCGCCGTCCAGGACTGAGGGGTCCTTAATGCTGCCGCCATGAGCCCGGCTTCTGGCTGGGTGGCGCCCCCCTGTGGGAGCGCACTGACCCCCCGGAGGCAGCTCCTGTGCCGAGCATCTGCCCCCTGGTGGTCAGGGGGCGTCATAGTGACAGTCTCTCCACCGTTTGGTGGAGTTGCATATTAGCCTTTTATTACATAGGACGTTTTTATCAAGCATCATTGTATTCAGGACAGAAGGAATCAAAACAACAAATGATCCCAGTCATAGAGAGAAGGCCCGGAGTCAGTCACGGTTTTTAGTTGGGAACCTGGGTTCCAGGACTAAGGTGACCAGATCGTCCAGGTGTTGGCGGGGCAGTCCTGATTTCTAATTTTTCCTGTGTCCCGCAGTGTTTTTGAAAAGTCCCGATTTTTGGAAAGAATCTTTCCAATGTTTCCGAGCGGCCACGGAAGGCCACGTCCCGAGCCCCCTCTCCTCAGCGGCCTTGGGCCTTGAGCCCCTTCCCAGGCCGGACGCGGTGGCCAGCTGGTCCGGACGGGCTGTGGGCGGAAGCCGGGCCTCTCACCTGCCGGGAGCCGAGGCATCGCCCTCCCGGCCTCAGAGTCAGGAGGTTGGGAGTGAATTCTGGGCGGGGAGCAGCCGTCCACACTGCAGGGCCGGGATCCCTCGGGCTGTTCCTGGCGGCCGGGGCAGGAGGGGGTCTGCCCGTCCCCTCGGCAGCCGCACCTCCCCTCCCGGAGCCAGCCCGGAGCGGCTGCTGCGGTGGAGACACCTGCGGTCAGTGCCCGGCGCTCGGGGAGCTGGGTTACCGTGGCATCTGCCCAGCTGAGCACGGTCTGCTGGCCCAGGCCTGCCCCCGTTCCCGTGACACCAGGGGCCTTGTCCCCGCTTCACATACTGCTGCTGATGTGAATCCCCTGAGCAACCTGCATGTTCCTAGGAGTCATGACGTGTGTCCTCAGTAAATCATTCCAAACAGGAGCGATCCCCGCTCCTGCAGTGAAGGAGCAGGAAACCATGCGGGACGCCATGTGCAGAGCGTGAGGCCCCAGGGCTGCAGAAGAGCAGGCCGGCTCTGGAAACCCCTCCGTGTCACAGGGCCCTGCTCTGTTTTCCTTTCAGAGCCGGTGCCAGGACACCGCCCATTCAGCTCTTATCGCCCCGCTGCTGAGTGTTTGGGATGGGCCTGGCACGGCCAAGTGGCTCTTAGGGAAACGGGGCCTCCCAGCCTGAGTCCCTCTAGGCCAGAGGGAGGACACGGGGCCCAGCTCCCTGCCTCCGGGCGGGTGGCCGCCCCGCACAGGAGGAGAAATCCTTCCATCTTTGGGGGGAGCTTTTCTCCCTGGGATCCTCGGTCCTCCCTCCCGGGTGACGGAGAGAAGGCCCTCTCTGGGGATAAAGATCTGGAGGAGACTGGCTGCCGGGCCCCAGCCGAGCGCAGTGCCCCAGGAATGAGGACAGGGAGGGAGGCAGACCGCCTGCCGCCGGCCGCCTCTTCCCAAGGCCCTGAGAGCCCAGGCCCAGGTCTGGCAGCCGGCCCTGGTGCCCGTGTCCACCGGTGCCAGCGTGGAGAAAGGAGCTGGCACAAGTGGAGCTGGCGGCAGGAACGGCTGGAGTGACCTGGTCTTTCCTAGACCCTCTCCACTTCGTCTTTCAGGGAACTGGTGGGGGCGGGGGGCAGGGGAGCTCCTCAGCCTTCCAGATCCTGCCCCTGCCCCTCTGGCTGCTGTTAGACTGGGTCTGGGGCTGCCTCTCGGAGGGACAGACCCCTCAGGGCCCAGGATTCTCCCGGGGAGCAGGCCCTGCGGCCAGACTGAGTGCTGGAGCACGTGGAGTCACGTCTGAGTGGAGGACGCTCACAGGTGGGCTGCCTGGAGGGGTGCCCACCCAGCAGCAGCGGCAGGGGGGGGGGGGGGTTAGGGCGGCCGCTCCCTATGGAATCCGCCGGGAGCCTGGCCGGGCCTGGCTGGCTGGGCACCAGCGTTCCAGGCTGCCTGCTGAGGGCTGGCTGCCTTTGAGACTCTGACTCACTCCGGTCGGGTTTTGATGTGTGTTTTTTTTCACTCCTGGGTTCTCCGTTGTACCCAAGATTCCTGGAAGCTGCATCCAGAGCTGGGCCGTCGCTGACGTGGTGGAGACACTTTCTCCAACGCGCTTCACCCGAGAGAGCGGGCCCCTGTGGCCACGGGGCAGGTCACCAAGCCGAGGAACCGGAAGCCGGCGGGCAGCCCTGGGTCGCTGGCCCCCAGCTCCGTGCTTTTTCAGGAAAAACCACGAATAACCTAGAGCAGCCCTCCTCCCCCTTACTTTCCGCAAGAAAGAAGAAAAAGGCCCCCCTGCACTCACACATTGCAACATTAACGGACTTCCAGCCGGGAGTCCCCGTGCTGAGTTCCTGTTGGCAGAGGTTCGGGCGTGCCCTTCGGAGCCAGGCTGCCCCTCGCCGGCTGTGCCCCCGGAGGGCAGCCACTCCCTCCTCTGCCCCTCAGACCCTCCGCTGTGCAACATAAACACTTCACAGGCAGAGGGAGCGGTGACTTCCCAGGTTTCATACCCGACGTGTCATAAGCCCTGAACAAATATTTGCTCTGTTTTTACTGGGAGGAGGGCAGGCTGAGGAGAGAGCCAGCCTGCGGACGCATGAGAGAACAGGAGACGGAGGATGAAGGAGGGGTCAGACGGCAGGTGGTCAGCGCGGGAGAGTGGCTGACGTCACTGCTTGTCCTCCCAGGCTCTGGGCAGAGGCTGGATGACACGTTAGAACAGTGATCAATAGCTGATGGCTGCCGTTCCTGAGAGAGACCCCAAGACCTCGCCTTCCCCATGAACCGAGTCCCCATATTCCAGACACGCCTGCAATCGTGTGCGTCCAGGGCACGCCGGGAGAGAGGGAGGAGAGCTGCAGAGGCAGAGGAAAATATTTTTAGATGAATATCGTCCTTAGCCGGGTATGAGAACCATCTGCTGCCACAGGATGACCGTGCCGCCACCATCCAGGCCCTAAGGGGGCGGGAGGGGGGGCAGGGTAAGGCCAGGGGACGGACGCAGACGGGGCTCCGAGGAGGGCGCTGAGTCTCCTCTCTGTGATCACCGGAGAGAAGAATCTGGAACCTAAGACACCAGCGAGGGTGTGGCCAGGGCACTCCCAGCGGGCGGCAGGTCACCCGGGGATCAGGGCATCGCGGGGCCCAGCTGTGCCCAAACACCGCTTCCACGCGGCTTCTCCCTTCCCGAGCCCCGGAGCAGGCCCCGGGCAGGCTGGGGAGCTGGGAAGTAGGTCAGACAGTCACACAGGCGCTGGGGAGGGGGAGGCCCTGCAGCGACCATCTTGGAATTAGAAGGTGACGATGAACGTGTTCACTCACCAGCTGTTTCTGGAGCCAGATCAGAGGCGGAGAGGGTGGCCCAGGAGCCACGGGCCTGCTGACTGTTAACACCCAGAGCGGGAGCAGCAGTCGGCGGCCGCGCACCTGCCACGAGCTGAGTTTTCCTCTGCTCTCCCCTCCGCCCCAGCCGGCAGGCTCATGGGCGCTGGGCCGGGCCACATGGGGGTGTGCCGAGGAGAGGCCGCGGGCCTGGGCTGCTGGGGCCGCGTCGGGTGTTTTGCTGGGAGTCTGGGCCTCCCGCGGCCCACGGATGGGGTGTTGTGCAGACCAGCACGTTCTCTCCGGGAGCTCACGCTTTCAGAAGGCGAGGCCTCTGCCCGGGACCGAGCCGGCTCGTTCCCCGGGGGCAGCCCCGTCCTCCTCGGGCCCCGGGCTGGCTCCTGCCCTGGGCCTTTCCTCAGGGTCCGCGGCCACGTCCTCAGCCACTTGACCTTGGCAGAGCCAGCCCCTGAGGCGTCTTGGACATCTGCTGAGAGGTCTCTCCAGCCTGTGTCTCGGGCCGCGATGAGTGGGGCAGCGGCCAGTGCAGGACTTCAGGCCTGGTTTGCTCTCTCGATCTTCACCCCCAACCACGCTGCGGGGACTTCTGCCGTGTGCGAGGCGTGTTCTAGGTCAGAGGAGTGAGGGAAAGGCACACGTGAGAGCCTGCACGTGCACAGAATGGACGGGAGCAGGTGGGGTTAGAGCCAGCGAACCCCACGTGGCTGGGGTGTGAGGTGGATAAGGACGGGGAGGGGTGTGAGCAGGAAGCGGACACAATGGGGGGGGGGGGGTCCGCCCAGGAGACGTTCTGGGAGGAAACTGACTCGGCTTGTGGCTGCTGAAGCCGGTCTGGGGCGGGGGGGGGGGGGGGGGGGGGGGGGGGGGGGGGGCTCCCCAGGCCTGGTGTCTGCCCGGAGCCCTCCGGCTCCCCGGACCCCCAGGAGTAAAAGGGAAATGTCACACTCGCCTTACCTATGGGTGTTGTGAGTCCATGAAATGATGGAAACAAAAGAGCTCTGAAACTTCAATTTTTAAAAACAGTAAGGTGCTTAGGCAGTGGGACCAACTGTAGTATTACTGGCATTTAAATATGGAAGCATTTCTCATTATCAGGTCCATTCCCCACGCAGTCCCTCCTTGGGGGGGGGAGGAGGAGGAGGAGGAGGAGGAGGAGGAGGAGGAGGAGGAGGCAGCACAGCTCTGGGACCGCAGAGAGGGCTCCCACTTCCCCCCGAAAAGGGCGAGCGCAGTCCGTGCGGGCAGGGAGCTCCCGCTCCGTCCGCGCCCACAAACCGTCAGCACCCAAGGGGCCCGGGACCCCGCAGGCCGGGCGCAGGGTTTCCCCGTGGGTGTGGCCCCCGCTCCCCACCCTGGCTGCGAACGGGAGTGGTTCCAGGTGACTCATGTGAGCAAAATGCAAAAACATAGCAGCGGGTGATGGCCTTTTCTGAGCGAGTCCAGTGCCAGGCCTCGCATTGTGTTCTCACTTATCTCGGGATCAGGGAGGAAATAAGACAGACTTGGCTCCGTCTCTCTCAGAGCGAGGACCTCCCTGCCCTTCTCTCCCGGGGAGAAGGCCGTGCCTGCGGCCCCCACGGCAGTGGGGTTCCCGCAGCATCAGCTGCTGCAGAGGCGGGAGGGGGGTGGGGCACGAGGCCCTGTTTTATCCCAGCTCCATGGTCTCGGGCAAAGTGCTTAACCTTCTGCAGCCCAGTTCCTCTGTCTAAAAAAAATGGAGAAGATTAAATGAATAAATCTGTGCGAGGTGTGCAGAAAATGGCCTTAGTAAAGGTAGCGAGCGTGATCGGTGTTAACAGCAGCATCGTTGCTGTATCTGACCTCCCTCCTCAGCGGCTGTTCCTGTAACACAGCCTCCCCCAGGCGGCCACGGAGTTCCCCTCCAAAGTTCACAGTCCACACAGAACCTGCTGCCTTCTCGCTGTGTCCGCCCTCCGCTCCTTGTGCCCCGTCCTCTCCCCGCCTCCCCTCGGCCCTCGGCGGACGTGAGCAGCGAGGGGCTCCCGGGCGGGGTGGGCGGGGCCCCCCCTCTGGTACTGACTCCTGACGGCTTCTGACTCGACGTCATCCATGTCACACCCATGGCAGCGGCGCCCCCTCTCCGGGCGGATGGGGATGGGAGAGGAGGGGTGCCTGGCCCAGGAGGCCTGTGGGGGGATGGAGAGCCGGGCAGTGGAGATGGGCACGCCCAGCAGGTCCCTCCCCTCGGTAAGCTCGGCTCTCTTTGCTCCTGGGGGGCAGTAGGCACCTTCCTCTCAAGGTCCTTGTGCGGCTACAGCAGGTGAGTGAGGCCAGCCAGCTCCACCAGGGTCACCCGCTGCCTCGCTAACGGCAGCGCCCTGCCCGCAGCCCCCGAGCAGCGCAGCCAGGGTCAGCGCCCCCTCTCCCCACAGGGCTGTACGTGCTGGTGGGAGCCGGGGCGCTGATGATGGCCGTGGGCTTCTGCGGCTGCTGCGGGGCCTGGCGGGAGTCGCAGTGTGTGCTCGGATCGGTAAGTGGGCGCGGGGGGCGCAGGGGGGACCCATCTGCAGGGAGCCCCACGTCTGGCCTCCGAGCCAGCTCCTCCCCGGCCTCAGAGACCTTGGCAGTCACCCCGCGCCCCCGTCCGGTCCTTGTCGCTGCAGGAGAACAATATTATCTGCGTCCGGGACTCAGTGGAAAGTCTGGGGGAGGGGAAGTGAGGTCACCAGTGTACAGATGTTTGGGGAGGAAAGTGTCTGGTAATTAAAAGGGGCAATTATGATTGTTCTTAAAAAAAAAAACAACACTGTGTCATAGCGAGTGAGGCAGCAACAGGCTCCGAGAGCAGGGCAGGCTGTTACCTCCAGGAAAAGCATTGCCACAGAGAGCAAAGCCTTCCCAGACACCGCTCTGGTGGCTGGTTTTAACCAGCAGCCAGCGCCTTTTTACAAACGGAATAACTGCTGCGAACTGCCCTGCAGCAGGGCCGCGTGGCCTGAGAGAAGCGGGAGGAGAGAGGAGTCAGGCAGGAGGAGAGTGTTTCTGTTCCCCACACGGCGTCAGGCACGGCAGGCGGACCAGGCCGCCGGTCCCTGCTATTGCAGCCGTGATGTTTGCGAAGTAAAATGTCTAAGTCACTTCCTCGCCCTCCATCCTCTCTCTCTCCCCTGCCGGGCATCTCTCTGTCCTGTTCATCTCTGAGCTTAGTTCGATCAGAGCAGACCCAACAGACGGGACAGAAACACGCCCACCTCTCCTGCCACCTCCACAAAGAAGCTTCCAGACTGCAGTCTCAGGTCACACCTTCCCCCAAACCGGGCTCCACCGGTCCCTCTCTCCGCCTCTCCTGTTCTTACGGAACCTCTTTTGTCCACCAGGTGCTCACTGCACAGGTGGTGGGATTTCTGTATCGCTGTCTGACATTATCTGACTCAACTGTTATTGCTTTACTCATGTATCAGATCTTCTCCTTTCTCATGTGAGGTCCATGAGAGCAGCAGCAGGAGGATCTTAGTTATGTACCACTGCACACCCAGCACCAAGGACAGTGCCTGGCACAGAATAAATGCTCAATAAACAATTGCTCCATGAATGAATGAATGAATGAATGAATGAGTGACGATCGAATGAATGAACTACAAGGACACTAAGAGCAAATGCTTCCTGCTAGGTCAATTCAAAGTAATCATCTTGCCTAACAGTTTTCAAGGGCAACTAGAATGAAAGGAGCTAGACCCATTGAAAAGTCACTGAATGAGTGAGGTCCGTGTCTTCTCTCTGCAGTTCTTCACCTGCCTGCTGGTGATATTTGCCGCGGAAGTGACCACGGGCGTGTTTGCTTTCATAGGCAAGGATGTAGTAAGTACAGCCGACGCGCAGTGTTTTTTTCACTGTGGTTAGCGTGTTCTCGTTCTGGCAAAGGAAATGAGGACAGCGATACCCACCGCGATATTACAAAACCAGCTAATCCCCACAAAGGCCGCTTACACAGAACCGTTCAGCCTGGAAACATCGTTTGGGACTGAGCACACGGGCGTGCGGCACACGCGTGCCCACAGCTTTCTGGGGAGATAGTGCATGGCTTTCCTCAGGTTCATACAGGGGCCCGTGGGTTTTTTTTAAAGGATCGCTAGTATAAGGTCATCCTGTCTGAAACGGAATAGAGGTCCGGTTGCAGGCGTGAGGGAGAGGGTTTGGGGAGAATGTGCATTCTCGTCCCTGTAGCCTTAGGGCTCGGCCTAACGCTGACCTCTGGGAGCCCCTGAAGCCGGTTCTTTCAGATCTGTGCTCAGACAGTACGTGTCCGGAACAGGCCGTCGGGAGGACCCCCAGAGGAAGGGGCTTAGAACACACTGTGGGAAAGAGGAGTGAGACGGGGCAGGAGCAGGAATGGAATCTTACGTTTACTATATCTCACATCAGCGCACACGCTGTCATTACGGTGTTTGTGAAATTATTTTGGATTTTAAAAAATGGCAAACATGTATAGTAAGTAAACATCACCTTGTTTGGAATCTTCCTAAGGTAGCTGGATATGGTAGTAGGTAAAGGAATTGGTTTTATGATTTTTTTTTTGAAATTTCTGTGGATTTGGGATCCCAGGCTTTTATACTGGAAACATTGTTCTCTGCGTTGTATGTGATATTTGAATGCTGAACAGTTTTCCCTGGTCGTAAACCTTTGAAACCACGTCATGAGAAGATCTGAGGACTGGTAGCCAGTGCGGTGCCAGGCAGCACAGGCCCTGACCTGGCCGTGATCACCGTCAGCTGGCGGCCGGGAGAGCTGGCACCAGCAGATGCTGATGTCCATTCAGGTCGAGACCCTCCGCTGTGAGAACCCTCTCCGTCTGTGAAAATCATTCTCGGCTAGTCCATCCTTCCACCTTCAGAAGTTGCTTAGAAACTCCAGAAGCGATCCTCGGCTCCAGAGATGCAGAATTATCTTAAAAAACACAGACAAACACACGTGTTTGTGAAGGAGGGAAGAGGGGTATTCCTGGATGGAAGGAGGATGTTTGAGACTTCCCACTCACCATGCCCTCGGTTTCCCGGCATTTCACAGGCCATCCGACACGTGCAGACCATGTACGAAGAGGCGTATCACGATTACCTTAAAGGCAGGGGAAGGGGAAACGGGACACTCATTACCTTCCACTCAGCGGTAAGTAACTCACTTCTTCCTAAAATCGCATCTTCCACAGATGGCGTGCGAGCCAGGTTCTCTCTGATCACCTGGATTAAACATAAGATGCATGTGATATTGCGTATGTTTTATAAGTTACATGTTATAATATATATGCATATATATACTAATAATGTAAGTTTACTGTTGGAAAGCATCCATAAAGAATTTTCCTGCATTTAGAGTTTCTTACTAAATATTTCCTCATGCTATTTTCTCAACCTAAAGAGATGTTCAGGAATTCATATCATAGTATATATATTATTTGCATATCTCTTCATTATTTGCTGTGATATTTAAGCAAGCAGCTTTAATTCACAAATGTAATAGCAAAAAAAAAACAACTATATTTTTTAT